GAAGATGACAGACTGCTTGAAACTGGCGAACTTCTAAAATCTTCGTCTTAAAAAACTTCTTGAATGTGTAAGATAACGTTGTTTAAAATAAAAGCGAATTGTAATTTAAAAAGTAACAAGTAAAGCACAAAAAGAGTAATACAATTTTTTTCTTATTTAATGTAGAGAACAACTTTTTCACAACCGATATCGAATAGAATGGTTTTACATCTGATACAACTAAACAACCGATTACGATCTTTTTTTTCTTAATATCTCAATTCATTCATAAACAACTAACGTTTTATTGATTAGCAACTAACATCTTAGCAACCGAAAACTTATTGATTAAAATTTAAATTTCATTGATTAACAGCTGACTGTTTTCCGACTACTCAATCCGCGAATCTTTTAATCATTTTTTATTTTAATTCTAGAACGAACTTTAAACAAGAAACACACAAAGGGAGATATTTTAACATAGAAGAAAATTTGTTCTTTTGTGGAAGGATTTCTATCCTGTTATTTGGGATTATTGGGCTCCTGGAATTTACGTAACGTTATTATACATATACATATTCTTCTCATACGTATATATGTATGTATATATGTATGTATATATGTATCCATCACGGGCAATTGCGAAAGAGAAAACCGCACGTGCTTCGCGGTCGGACGCAATTCGCGTACAGGCAACGATCGCCCGGCATTTCGTGGTTTTGGTTTACTGCATAATTGCGCGTTTCGATGGATACGCCGACACAACATTGATACCTTTATCGCCACGATATTGCCAATTACCGTCGAACGACATCGAACCACGTTTGCGTATGCAGATGGCGCTTCATATTCTACAGAATCTAAGCTAATATGTATAATGTGTGAAAATACATAATTAATGCCAAATATACCCGTGAATTCTATCGAAATCAATGCCAAAATGTAACACATTCTTACTTTAATTCCAATAGAATTAGTATATAACATCAGCAATAATAACAATAATATTCGTTTGACTAACATTCAAATATTTTTTTATTTCATCTAAATGAATAGAGAGAGAAAAAACTAAAAATGTCTAACAATTTTATGTATTTATGCAATTTATGATAAATTTGTTATATTCAATCTTGGGGATTCAAGATTTTACTTTACATAATAAATACATAAAAATAGAATATCCGAGCTCGAGTATAAGAAACGTTCTTGGAATGAAGGGAAAAATGCGTAATATAAAAGAATTTTAAACGTGCACTCTCAGTATTTTTTCCAATTTCTTGAATGAATCTTAAAAGAACGAAAAAAGAAAAGGAAAAAAAAATAAAGAAAAAAAAAATAAAAAGAAGAAGAAAAAGAAATACCAAAGATAAGGAAAGGAAAGGATAGAAAAGGAGTATTCGTTGTTTGTATGTGTGTGTGTGTGTGTGTGGATGTGTGTCCTCGCTACGAGGGTTGTGCAGGCATTTGCTACCGAAATGGCAGTATGACGTCTAGGGGGTAGGGGTAGACTACCGACAGACGGCGACTGCGGGGGCGGTGACCGGCCGCCAACGCGAATCAATACCCGCAGGAACAGGAACCGCCGACCTACGAGAGGTATGTGTTAGAGTACGAGAGGAGACACGAAGAGAGAGAAAGAGAGAGAGAGAAATAGGGAGAAAGAGAGTAAGAGAGAGAGAGAAGAGAACTAACCAACGAAGAAGAGAGGGACGCGAAAACGGTGTAGGAGGAGAAGGCAAGCAGAATGAGACCTGAAGAGAAGGAGGAATCGTGAGTTTCTCCCACCCCTCCCTTCAGTTACCCTTACCACCAGTACCACTACTACCACCACCACCACTACCATCATCAGCTCTACCCATCAGCTAGCTCCTCCACTGCACACCATACCCCATAGTCGTCGCCACTGCTGCTAATACATACGAATGTGTTGTTCACACTCACATCAGAGGTTGCTGCTGTTGTGCTGTTGCTGTTGCTGCTGCTACTTGCTCTACCTGTCTCTACCTTTTACGACTCTTTCATGTCTCTTCGACGCTTTCCTTTTCTCCTCGACACGTGTAAAAGATGCATGCTCGAGGCGAGAGGAAGCAGAGAAAACGGGTAGAAGAATGCGTAAAGAAAACGAGATCGTTCTCTTGGGACACCAAGAAGACTAGTGTTTCTCGTACTTTTTCTGATCTACATTGATACTAATACTACTACTACTAGTATCTTTCTTTCGATCGCTTTTTTTATCTTTCGATGATTTGTTGAGAGATACTTTTTACCTATAGTCACGTTTTATTATCCTTGTGTATTTTCAATTTATAATATTATTGATATAATAATATATGAAATAAGAAAGGAAATATTATGACGGGATATAAATTATTTTATAAAATGTTAAGAAATAAAATACGCCTACGAGAGTCTTTAGATAGTACGATATGTCCGAATACATATTACTACTTCGTGACTTACAGTCTGGAGTTCGACGGACCGTCTATACGTGACCTTGACGGCCGACGATTGGACGGGGTTCTGTTGGTCGAGAGATAGACTGAGAGAGAGAATGAGAAAGAGAGACAGAGAAGCCGAATGGAAGTCCAGAAGACAGTACGGATACACGCAGATTACTTCTCTGGACACACTCAAGTGTATACACACACACACACACACATACTATCGTCGCTGGCACATAAATGCATACCGTAGTCGGAGACTGGTTTGCCCAGTAACCTCGCATACTGGCCGAGCTAAGAAGAACGAAATGTACTCTCCCAGTCGAATACAAAAGACCACATTCCTCTCTTCCTTCGAACCCTTCACACCTTATCTTATACAACCTTACTCTTTCTATTTGTCTGTTCGTACCTTTCTTCATTCTTTCAACTTTTCGTTATTAGTAGTCTTTGCTTCATTGGGTTAAGAGGACACGTCAACAAAAAAATCGATTTTTTTTTTCGATTTTCTGAAAAAATATTACAGTAAAACCTCTTTTTGTGCGGAGGATAGGGACCGAATAAAAAAAAAATATTCGAAAATTTTATAAATACTTACATATAATAAACACAAACACCGCACAAAAAGAGGTTTTACTGTATTTCAAAAATATTTTTTCAAATTTTGGTAAAGATCCGCGCATTATTTACGAAACTGTAGTAGTTTAAACGGAGCGCGCCGTAGCGCTCCAAGTAAGTTACCAAAACTTTCAACGTTAATTTCTCCTATTCGCGTTTTTAAAACGGTGGCCCTCGCTGCGTCCAGACCATTTATCCTATCCTTACCAAATTTTGTACAGTAATACTAGATACACGTATCTAGGGAATGAACGAAAGGATTTTTCGATAAAATGCCAATTTTGTTTTTTTTTGTTTCTTCAAAAACTCGGCGATTTTTCTGCAAAAATGTCAATTTTTTTCGCAAAAAGTCGACTATTTTGAGAACAATTAAAAAATCAAAATTTCCTTTCGTTCATTCGCTGCGCCAACATCTCTACTAAAGGATAACACTCAGTTTTTTTGTTTATGATGAACCAATTTTTGCCAGTGAGGGCCACCGAAAATCACCTTTTTTTTTTTGTACTCTTAGAAAAGTGACCACAGACAACACAATTTACAATATTTTTACACAAAAAAAATTATGAATATAGTTCAGATATATAACTTACATATACCAAAAATTTGTATTGATATTAATAAAACTGGCTGCAAAAAAAATTCACAAAAAAACCTCTTTTTTTTTTACACTCGAAGATGACGTGTCCCCTTAAATCGTTCTTTCATATTGTTCTTTTCTGATTGAAACAGTTCAACAGGGTTCAATTTAGTAGTTAATCTAAAAGTATCTTTAATATAATTAAATCATTAATTAAGAATTATTTTCTTTTTTAATTCGTACTAGGTTATAGAGTAGTTTAAAATAGGAATTAAGAGTTACTTTACTTATACTTTCTTTTTCGGGTCAATTGAACCAAATATGTTTGATTTATTTGTCTAGACCAGTGATTCCCAAAGTGAAACGTGGACTTTGGGGGTAGAGGAAATAAACTACTAAACTACTGTGTCAAACTGTGTCAATAGTAATAAAATAATAGAAAAAAATCATTTCATTTTCATTTCCCCGTTTGTTATATTGCTTTTCTGTAACTCTTATTCTTCGCACTTGGTGGGCCTGGTGAACGATTGAAGCGGTTCAGGGGGGCACAGGGGCGATTGAAGCGGTTCAGGGGCAGGGGGCGATTGATGCGGCTGTAAAAGAAGGGTTATTCAATAGTATATTACATACCTAGGTCAGTAAATTAAGAAATGTTTCAGAGCACATGTAATTGTTGTCCGAGGCGAAGCCGAGGTCAATAAACATGTGCTCTGAGGCTTTTTTATTTATTGACCATGGTGTGTATACTTTTTTTCTGCTCGACATAAGCGGAAAGCGGCAACTTCGTTCTGTTGACACTTTCCGCACGGAGTGGTGAAAAAATATTAGCAATATTTGGTCAAGAAGGGGGGCGGGGCGATAGGACAAAAAAGTTTGAAAACCACCGCCATTGGTCTAGATGAATAAGAATACCCTGGAAAAAAATATTTAACTTTGATCTACGATAGCGTTAGATCGTTAGCAATCTCCGATTACCTTGTAAACAGGATAGAACTCTCTTCGTGGTTGTTGCAAAAGGATCATAGCATATCAAATGACAAAAGAATAGTCGCGTGAATTATTGTCTCCAACTGGACATTTATATATATATATATATATATATATATATATATATATATATATCTAATTGAGGTTGAGTTACATATTTTATGTATAAGTAGCGATCGATTTAATAGATAATCAAATAGCTATAGTTGTTTGCATCCTTTCTTTACACTGATTAAATATTATTTAAATAAGATACAGTACACATAATGTCAGATAAGATACTTATCGAAAATAATTTATTATTTGCAAATGAGTAAACAAAATGATGCAATTTTTTCTTAGTTAAACTTCATTGTTAGAAAATTGATAGCATGATAAGCAAAAAAGTATACTAATAATACTTTCTACAATCAAATATGTCAAATAGCCCTAGGCTTTGAGAGTTCTAATACAATTTTAGTTCGGTATAAAGGATAGTTTACAGATTTCGGTATGGAAAGGGCAAGTAGCAAGGGTCTAGGTCAAGGTCTTAGGTCTAGGTCTTAGGTCTAGTATTGCTATAGAGTAAAATCGACATTATCAGGCCACACTTCAAACATACAAAGTAATCGCTATCAGTATTACCATTTAACTATTGCAAATTGAATATTCAAAAGCTATGAAATACAATGAAATGTATAAAATATGAATCCAACGGGTGACATCATTTTTTTTGTAAATGGAGAACATCGCAGGTGTTCGTATAATCATCGTTTAAATTATAAAACTGTATATAAGGCAAAAAGAGTAATCAGAGTACTGTGCGATTGCTGAGTAAAGTTTGATAAGTAAAACTGTGATAGAGTGGCCTGACATCTATTATCAACAATAAAATTGAATTGTCCTACTATTTTATCGGAACATTTTTAAAAATAACATTTATCTTCATTGCAAAGTTATATCAAAAAGTAATCATGCTAATGCGTAGTAGAATCATTTCGTTTAAAAATATCTTTCATCAAAAATAATATCATTTTATTCGTATTCAATAGGTTTACTGTGTAAGATAACTTTGTTGTGAAAAAAATAAAAAAACACAAAAAAGAAGAAGACATTTCTGAGTTACTCACCATGGAGACAACGGGTGGCGGTGGATTTCCGTTTCTGAGAGCCGCCGTTTGCTGACTCGCCGCGGGGTTCAGGTTGTCCTTGGCCTGCTGCATGGGATCCGGCTGATGCAGAGGCTGCTGCGCTTGCTGTTGCTGTTGTTGTTGTTGGTGTTGTTGCAGACCACCGATGCCTGCTTGAGGACTACCAAGACCAGCGGGTGCACTGTCTGGCGTGCTGACTTGTCGAGCGATTTTTCTATAACTCTGAAAAATTCATAATAGACATTTTTTTTTATTTTTTTTTTTTTTTATTCGAATTTTATCATCTTGTTATTTTCACATTCATTATAATTTCAATTTAAATGTAACATTTTAAATATCATTTCAAATAATTCTTTTAGGATATTATTTCTTCAAAGCACTTAACGTAGATTTTATTATTATTATTTTTTTTTTGTGTGTGTGAAAAGGTATCGGTCTGAAAAGGTCTCATTTTTAAAATCTCTTAAAACTTTTAATTAGACTTATATTCCGCATAATACCTACATTAATTTTATAGAGAGAGAGCGAGAGAGAGAGAGAGAAAAAAATTTCAACATTTAATTATACTTTATGCTCAATTAACAATTTAATTGGATGTGATAAATTACAAAACACCGCGTACTGGTAATTTTAACGCGTAATCACGTAGCGCTGAGCGTTGAGTAGTTAAATATTAGATTTAAACAAAACAAATTCAACTGAACATCATTTCAAAAACTAATCAAGAGTCCGTACATTTATTACTCGAACAAGATGATAAAAATGACGATAAATCAACGCCAGAAGTTTTAATAAAAGAAGAAGAAGAAGAAGAAACAAAAAAAAAAAAAGATAAGTAAAAGAAAAATGAAAGGCTTTTTTTTTTTTACGTAGGATAGTTGCATCGAATAATTTCTAATACCGTGTTCATCTTCGCGGCTGTCACGGGACAAACTAGAAATGACGTATACATATATTTATCTTCGGAAATGAAGGAAGAAAAGGATGCTGGTACGAGAAGCGAGTATACGTTGGTGTGACCCTAATGCTAAAAATAGCTACATGGCCTAAGTAGGCCGAGGCGGCTGAAACTGTTTCCATAGTCCAACTGGTTGAACGAACATCATCGGTCGTACTAAGGCATGACCCCTTCTTCTCTTTTTGTATTTCCCCTTCCTTTCAAATCGTCATTCTTCGTTCCTTAATTCTATTATACGATAATAACATAAACGTTTCGAGTTTTCAAAAATAAAACTATATCACGTTAATCGTCAATCAATTTTGATTGCTCCAGTAATGGACACTTGTATGTTGAACGACGTGATATGGGGGGGGGGAAATAACAAATAAATCAATAAAATACAAATTAAAAAAAAAATGATAGAACAAAATCAATAATAATTTTACTTCGTATAATGGAATATGACATTTAGTTTGTAAAATATCATAAGTACAAGTAATTATATAAACTCATTATTACATAAAAGAAATATAACTTATTTTACTATTAATGACACGATCGAAATACTGTCTCTAATATACATATAAAATCGTGTCTCCGAAGTCTCGGTGAGAAACGCATAAACAAAACACATATATACATATATATATATATATAGAAATCGACAGCTATTAATTTTCTCTTGCACGTGCATGATACAAACATTCAATCTCACGCCCTCCATCCTATTTCATTCTCAAGTCCACGTATTTCACGATAGAGTACACAACTCACATATAACGAAGACTGCATATATTGGATTTATAAATAGGCAAGGTCTTTGGGCCCACGCTAAGCCCACAGGAGAGAATCGTATTTGCCTACCGATTGCTCTGTCACCCGCTGAGATATTTTATTTACATAAATCGAGATGCAACTTTGCGAGTGGAATTACTCTCGATCATTTTATTAAATATAATATATCGTTCAAATATCTCTTTGGCAAGCAACGAACTATGATTTAACTATTAAAATATAATGAATTACTGAGATATACCGGTCTTATATATGTATATATACATATAATCTTAATTTATGAAAAAAAAGAAGAAAAAAACTAGAAATTTGAATAATTCACCTTCCAATTAAATTCATTTAAAAAAAAAAAGAAAAATAATAATAATAATAATGACCGTCTGCAAATGATAGTATCACATCGTGGACATAGTATTGATAGTAATTACAAATAAAGAAAGACATAACGATTGAGTAGACTCGTCATATCATCGAGACAAACTGATACAACTCCTTTTCACATTACCTTCGAATAGTAATCACAACTCATCCGTTTGTTATGCGATGATCGGTGCCATTATAATGACGAAGAATCTCAAAATGACACATGTTAGCAGCTACCATAGATATTCGACGTTGTATCACGGTAAATCGACTTTTTTAAAATCTCGACATTCTCTCTCTCTCTCTCTCTCTTTCTCTCTTTTTTTTCTCCGTCGTCTTTTATCGCGAACTTTAATCGGTGCTTTTTCAAGCCAGCCAAAGTTATAAATAGTCTTTCCTTATTCCCTGCTCTCGAACCGTCACGTGAAAGGCAGCCTTCCAAACGAGATGAAAACTTTCTTTCTCGAAATGTATTAAACTTCGTCGTCGTCGTCGTCGTCGTCGTCGTTGTCGCCGTCGTCCTCGTCTTCGTCGTCATCATCATCATCATTGTCGTCGTCGTCGTCGTCAGCACCGTTCTGTAGTTGTAGTTATTATTATTATTATTATTATTATTATTATTATTATTATTATTATTATTATTATTATTATTATTATTAGAATTTCGTAGGACGTGATTACATGCCAATAACGATAAATAACATAGCAACTTGTAAATCTTACCTTGTAAAATTGTACCCATCATCATCATCATCATCATCATCATCTTAAATAATATATTTGTCTTAATTGTTTTATATTATTTTATTATAATTTTATGTTTCTTTTTACTTGTATTTTTTTTTGTCTTTTTCTTTTCAAATGAAATATTACATCGATACGACTAAACATTACAGGTAACAGTAATTCGGTTGGGTTTGACTTATCGCACGATTACGATGGGCAGAAAAGTCATTATTTGTTTTCTACCGATAAAAGAATGATACCGAATGGAGAAAGGCGAGGCAATTTATGGGAGACATTACGAAACGACGCGACGCAATATTTTATTGTCCATGCCAAGCTATATAACTCGCGTAAATGTATTTTTTTTTTTTTTTACTTTTTTTTCTTTATTTATTTATTTTTTTTTTTTTTTACCGTCTCTCTTTCCCCTATTTCTTTTTTTTCCTTTTCTATATATCTTTCTTTTTCCCCCCTCTCTCTCTCTCTCTCTCTCTCTCTCTCTCTCTTCCATTATATACACCGTATAATAACTAACTTTTACTTATTTCAACGGTAAGAAAAATAATACTCAACTTGACTTGTCGCGAATTGTACGTTTAAGTACTCATCGATCTCCATCGTCGAAGATGAGTTTCGACGAACGACACTAACGACCTTACCCGATGTCGCGGTAAAAGCTCAAACCTTCGATACCTTCGGCTTGTCCTTGTCTCATACTAAGGACAATGACCACCGCGGCTGAACCCTTACCGGTTATTACCGCCATAATTTTATCGATTATTCGCATATACCTTCTCTCTCTCTCTTTCTCCTCAACGTTGAGAATTCTTAAGAAGGATCCTTCCTACGTGTGTTCTTCGACTGTAATTTCATCCATACGAGAAGATTATATTTCTTTTTTTTTTTTTTTTCTTTATCTCATAAATTTAATACTTAAGTAATTATCTAAAAGATTGCAAATGTCTTTCAGATCTCTCAGGGAAAAATGGGACGTTCGTTTAAAAATATTTCATAATTTTGCATTTCGAAATATTACAATGTTTGTTTGTTTTTTTTTTCTTTTTTCAAATTCATATTTTGATAACAAAACTTTGGTGTAGAGATATTTTTTTTTTTTTTATTAAATCGTTCGCGTTTTCTTTTTTCTTTTTTGAGATACAAGATAGAGATATATATATAAAATAAGAGAAAAAGAACAAGATGTGATACAAAGTAGAGCACCTTCTGGCTATTTCATTTGAAACAACGACGTTCACACAGGTTAGTTCGTTCGTTCATTCGTTCATTCGTTCGTTCGTTCGTTCGTTCGTTCGTTCATTTTTCTAACGGCTACGATGCACCAACGTTATATAACGACAACCAACAACGATGGTTGTAGCATGCTCGTTTACGAGCTCATTTTTTGGACGATCTCGTCGGAAATAAATCCGCTGCGGGCCGTAGAAAAAACTCATGCGAGTCGAGAAAAAAGAAATTAAAAAAAAGAAAAAGAAAAAAATAGAAAGAAAAAAAAACAAAAAGTAGGAAAAACGAAGATAGAAAGAGATAAAGAGAATAGGATACAAAAAAAAAATAAAAAGGATGAGAGATCTCTCTTTCTCCTTTGTCCAAACCCGCGTTAGTAGACGAGCAAAGGCTCTTTAATGGCAAAGACAAGCAAATGCACATCCTGTTTTTAATGACCGAACTTGAGCGTGGAAATTCATTAAATCATAATTTTTTTTTTTTTCCTTTCTACCTTTTAACTCTAATCATACAATGTTCTCTCCTACTCTCCGCCCCCCTCCCCCCCACTATGCATTTTTCATTTAATACTTTAAAAGAAAGACTTAAAAATATTGTTAATCCAATCGAACGTTTTTGTTTCGTATTATTATTATTATTATTTTTTTTTTGTTCGTAACGCACACATATACACATATACATATCATAATAAAATATATATCTATAAAAATATAAAAAGATAGATTTTTTTGATTTAATATTTAAGTTAATTGGTTCATTAAGTCACGTATCCATAAATCAGAGAAATAAATCGACGACTAAACGATCTATTGCGCATAATGATCGTTAAAATGGTAGGTTCGAACGGATGGTCGATCTTTCAAGGATAAGTTCGTCATATCTTACATACGTATACATATGTAAGTTTTGTGTAGATGGTGTGCACGTAGAGATGTCTATTACAATCCTGCCAACAATGGAGATCGAAATTACGCGGAAGACGAAGTCGATGGTAGCTAACGAGCATGGTTATTGAAAAGATAATGTGTTCTCTCTTATTTCGTTCCCTTTTAAATCTCAAACGATTCGCTTCGTTGGAAGCATAGTTATACCAGGGAAGAACCTTATGCTTCCCCGAGCACCTTTTCAAAGATTTACAAAACGCATTATATAC